GCCCCGGCTCCTCATCCGTAGTTAGCTCTCTGATGAAATCCGCCAAAGCCTGGGCTTTTATGGCCCTTCGAGGTTCAAATATCAAGTCATACTCGCCGAGCTCCACCGCCCACTTGGTGAGTCGACCCGACACATTGGGTCGACCCAGTGTGTCTCCTAGTGGCATGTTAGTGCGGACAATGACCTTATGGTTCAGAAAGTATGGTCTTAACTTCCGGATTGTGATGATGAGTGCTAGAGCCACCTTCTCTATGTCTGAGTAACGAACCTCCGCCCCTTGCAACAGTCGGCTTGTATAGTATATGGGCCTTTGGTGTCTATCTTCCTCCTTCAGTAGGACCGAACTGACCGCCACTTTTCCCACGGATAGGTATAACACCAGTTCGTCCCCCGGCTCCGGCTTCGACAAAAGGGGCAATTCCGCTAAGAACTCTTTGAGGCGCTCGAACGCTTCTTGTGCCGCCATCGTCCATTCGAACCTCGCGCCTTTCTTCAGGGCCTTGAAGAAGGGGAACCCCTTCTCCGCTGCTTGGGCTATGAATCAACTAAGGCCCGCCAGTCGACCCGCCAGTACTTGGGCCTCACGACGGTTTTTGGGAGGCTTCATATCCAAGACCGCCTGCACCTTAGCTGCATTCACTTCGATTCCCTTTTCGGTGACCACATAGCCCAGAAATCGACCAGTCTTCACCCCAAATTTGCATTTGGCTGGGTTCAGTTTCATACCATACGCTCGCAGTGTATTGAACGTCTCCCTCAGATCTGCAATGTGGTCGACCGCTCTCCTGCTTTTCACCAGCATGTCGTCGACGTATACCTCCATGTTTCTCCCAATTTGGCCCTTAAACATCTGGTCGACCAAGCGTTGGTACGTGGCCCCTGCATTCTTTAGACCGAAGGGCATGACCACATAGCAGTACGTTCCTTTGGCCGTCACAAAGCTGACCCTTTTCTGATCGTCCTCTGCTAGGGGGATTTGATGATATCCTTGAGAGGCGTCCATCATGCTTAAAAGTTCGCATCCTGCTGTCGAGTCCACCAACTGGTCGATCCTTGGCAGCGGGTAATGATCCTTGGGGCACGCTTTGTTCAGGTCTCGAAAATCCATACACATCCTCCATTTGTTGAGCTCTTTTTTCACCATGACCGCATTGGATAGCCATTCTGGGAATTGGATTGGTTTAACATGTCCCGCCTTCAGCAGCTTCTCTACCTCCTTCTCAATGACCAAGTCCAGTTCATGCCCGAAGTGCCTGCGCTTTTGCTTCACGGGTCTCATCTTTTCGTCCACGTTGAGGCGGTGGACCGCCAGTTTGAGGTCTATACCAGTGAGTTCTTCGGGACTAAAGGCAAAGATGTCCACGAATTCTCTCAGCGTTTGCACCAATTTTTCTCGTATATCGTCTGGCAGATCCTTTCCTATGCGGGTCGTCTTCTCCTCTACCCCTTCGACCAGCTCAATCTCAAGGAGCTCATCCCGAGTGGCAACCTCGACCCGAACTTGTTTATCCTGACGTCCAACTATCTCTTCGGCCTTTCTTTTTCCCGATTGCCCTTCTTTGATCGTGACTTGGTAGCAGGATCTCGCTATCTTTTGATTGCCCTTAACTTCTCCTACACCCGCTCCTACGGGGAATTTCAACTTTCTGCAGTAGGTTGAGACTACCGCCCTGAAGGTATTCAAGCTAGGCCGCCCCAGTATCACGTTGTACGCCGATCCGGTCTCAACGACTAGGAATCTAATCATCTTTACTTGTCTTAGGGGTGTTTCCCCTAACGCCACCGGGAGGACCACTTCGCCAAGGGGGACCACTTCTGCCCCACTGAAACCGTATAAGGCCGTTTGCACAGGTTGCAGGTGCAGGTCTAACTTCATCTTGTCGAAGCAGTGCTTGAAGAGTATATCCACCGAACTTCCAGTATCCACAAAAACACGCTCGACGTCAAAGTTTGCTATTTCTGCTGTCACTACCAACGCGTCGTTGTGGGGCGTTGCAACACCGCCAAGATCTGCTGGGCCAAAATGAATGAGGGGTATCTCCTCCGCCAGTTGGACCTCTTCTCTGATCTGCTCTTCCGCCCTGGCATACTTCCTCCTTGCTCGGTTAGAGTCTCCATCAGTCGGGCCTCCAGAGATCATGTGAATTACCCCTTTCTTCCGTTGGTCCTTATCAAGGTCTTCACGATCGTCTCGCCCCCTCTTTTCATTTTCTTTCCTTCCTCCTTCTGGGTCTTTGTCCCTTAGTACGAACTCTTTCAGGTGCCCTGCTCGTATTAACCTCTCAACCTCGTCTCTCAACTCCTTGCAGGCATCAGTGGTGTGGCCGTACTCTCTGTGATACCGACAATAGAACTCTGGTCGCCCAATGGGTACCCCATTCTTCCTTGGCAAGGGTCGAGGCCGATCTAGCATCCCTAAGCTGCCCCTCTTTTCTAGCACCGCAAACACTTGCCCCCTTTGCGCATTTAGGGGCGTATAACGGTCGAACCTCTGGCCCGGTTTCCACCCCTTCTCGTCTACGCGCTTGCTCTCTCGCCCCCCTTTCCTGTCGTCGGGTCGGGGAGGTCGCTGTTCTTGCTTCTTCTCCCTCCTATTATCCCTTACAAGGAAGTCTGCTTGTGCCTCTTCCATGTTCATGTATTTGCCCCCTCTCTCCAATAGTTCGTCGAAACTTTGGGCCGGTCTCTTAGATAGGGAATCTCGAAAGGGTCCCGGTCGTAGTCCACAGGTTAGGCCACCAGCTTTTATCTCCTCTGCGGCGGTGGGCACTTCGACGCATGCCCGAGTGTAACGAGCTATATAGGCTCGCAATGTCTCCTCTTCCCTCTGCTGTAGATTAATCAGGGATAAGTATGTCTTCTCATGCTTTCTCGCGCTCGCGAATTGGTTAGTGAACAATGAGCTAAAGCCTTGAAAATTTTTAATAGTGCCCGGCGCTAGCTGATGGAACCAATCTTGGGCAGCACCTCTCAATGTGGTCACAAAGGCCCGACAGCACACCGCGTCGCTATACCTGTGCAACACCGCTATGTTCTCAAAGCTCCTTAGATGTCGAGCCGGGTCGGTAGAGCCATCATACGCCATGGTAAGCTCTCGAAACCCTTGCGGCAGCTCCACCCTCAACACCTCTTCTGCAAATGGGTGGCGTGGGTGACATGGGTTTCGACGCCCGCTAACCTTCTCTTGAAGCTCGCGCAGCTGCTCTGCCATGCGTTCTAAAACCAAGTCTCGGGGCGGCTGTGGTAAGGCCCCTGATGAGTGGACCGACTGCTCTGGCTCATGCTCTTGCCCTCCCGTGACCAACTGCTGCCCAATTGGTCGATTGGTCGCTTCAGGTCGATTTATTGTCTCCCGCGCCTCGGGTCGAGCCTCCGCCCTTTGAGTTTCAGGTCGAGCAACCGCTCCCCTAGCTGGTGGTGAGACCGACGCCATTCTCGCTTCCACTGCGGCTGCTATCATCCTCTCCAACGCGCTAGGCGTGATCTGTATGGGCTGTTCTGGAGAAAAAAGCTGGGTATTCGCTCCAATCATCTCCTCCGTCTCCTCGTGGAGCTGCGTTTCCTCTCCGTTTGCTCTCCGACGAAATGCGCCCGTGCCCAGCCTCGTTGGCGTCTCCACCACTCCGGTTTGCACCGGGCTATTTGTAGTCGCCTCCGCCTGCTCCAGCGGCCGTTGGGTGGCAGGGGCTGGGGTTGCTGGCGTGCTTCCGTACAACACCCGTCCCGGCGGCGGCCCCGTCTCCGCGGGCCGCTTGTGCAACCACGAGCTATCCTCTTCCCTCTGCTCCTGCTCTCTTTCTTGCTCCATCTTCCTTCCTTCGTTTTTTCTTTCCTCAACTTGTTTTCCGGTTGCTATGTATGAGATACCACCAGATCAACGCCGGTTGAGCTAGGGTCCCCACAGACGGCGCCAATTTGATATGGTCCGAGATGGATGACTCCGGTTTTCCGAGTGGCCTTCTTCCGGTTCGAACGTGGATCTGCCGGTTTGGCGCGGTCCAAGCTCGGGAGTTCGCCGTTACCTGCAAATACGCCGGAGTTGATCCGGCGTAAGACTCTCCGACGCCCAAGTCAATATCTCGGAATAGGAATAGTAAAAAGGTGTCCTTCTATTAAATGTAACAGTGATTATAATAAATGATGTCTTACCTTTCTCTAATGGCGTTAACCGTATATATAGTGCTTAACTGCGAGAAACGGGGAGTCGAGAGTCGGCCTCGGCCCGGTCGACCTATGAGCAAGCGGTCGACCACGGGCCGTTCGACCCAAGCCCACGCTCCCTGGTCGAGCAGGCTCGACCCGAGACTATGTTGTCCGATTAGACCGTAGATCAGCGGCCTTGGTTTTATGGGTCTTTACTCGGGCGGTATTAGTATCCCTATCACCGCCCCACAAACTGCAATTAAAAGTAAATGCCCCAATTATATTACTTAGAAATCTAGATCCCACTGAAGGATTGTGCAATAACACACGCTTGATCTGCAAAAACTTAAGTAAGAATATCATTCATGCAGAAATAGTTGTGGGTGAATTCAAAGGCAAAAACTTTTTTATTCACAGAATACCATTACTACCCTCAACTGAGGACCAAGTACCTGTCCTTTACAAAAGAACTCAATTTCCTATACATCTATATTTTGCAATGACAATTAACAAGGCTCAAGGACAGACTTTGGAATCAGTAGGAATTTACTTAAAAGAACATGTTTTTTCTCACGGACAATTATATGTGGCGTTATCAAGAGCAAAAACATCTTCCGTTGTCAAATTTGTGATCAAACCTTTGTTTCATGATCCAGAAAAACTTTGTTACACCAAAAACATTGTATATAATGAAGTTCTTGAAGCCGCACAGATAATACAATGTAAATTACTCCGCAGCTTTTTTTATTTAAACATACATTTTTAAAATCTTTATTTATATTACACATTTATTACAACTTGCATAACTATTTGTATATAAGATCTCTGTTAACTCTTTGTTTATTATATCTATGCAGCTGACGAAAATGTCGAGGATCAGCCTGCCTATCAAAAAGATAAACGACAAGACCAAAAATTGGACGACATTGATACAGGTCGTGGAAAGAACCCATGTGAACAAAAGAAAAAATAATTCATCAGTACTGTACCGCAGATTTTTATTTACTGATGAAGAGGTATGGATAAAAGATTGCATTCTAAATTTTAATAAAGTATAATTTTTAATTCTATGATAATAAATCATCACATCTTCCTGAATTGTATTAAAAATTATATTTACTAGGGCACTAAGGTTTCCGCAGTTGCCTATAACCACGTCATTAATCAATTCACGGAGACGCTCCTCCCGTACAAAAGATATTACTAACAGGAGCAATTGTCCGTCTGGAGAAACCAGAATTTAAAGTAGGTGACTATGATTACAATTGGCTCCTCGTGAATGGCACTTATGCAGAGGACTTTATGGAAAGCATACCACCACAGTTTCCATGCCATATTGGACTTCATAGGTTCAAAGACTTGCACAAATTTGCAGACACCGAAAATTTGAAGAGTAAGTGTTATTTGAAGGAAGGAAAAAAAAAGTAGTATAGTTATGGATATTACTAAAATCAATTATTAGTTTTGTCCCGTACTTACCAATTGATTAATTACATACCTACTTGGCGTTGTTGTTCATGCTCTACCGGTGAAAAAGTCTAGAGACAACAGCACATCATGATACCTGGTCATAGTTAATGAAGAGTAAGCATAAAATTCAATAAAATACTGCTAATTGTAACTTATCTTTGAACTTATGCATATTTCATTATATAGGAAAAAACCATTGTTGCTAACATTACGGAATCAATTTGAAACGCACGAGGATCAGCAACTCGAAACTTCAATGTCGGCAGGCAACATTCTCTTGGCTATGAGAGTTAAAGTCGCACATTCTATGGTAACATATGATTTAAAAGACCACAATATAAAATTTAACAGCTGTTGCACAAAAATATCTTATTAATTGCCGATTGTGGAATTTGTACAGGCTTATCCTTATCAACAAAAGTCAACACTTGCTTACTAATCAATCCACCAATGACTGCAGCGGTTGATTTGAAACAATGGTATCTAACAGTTTAATTGTACTTAAATATACTTTTAAACAATCACATTCATGCATATATCCGAATAAAAATTGCACAGGTACATTGACAACAAGGACGATGTAGCATGCCTTGTACGTGAGGAGGCATATAAAAACACCAATGTCCTATTTCCGCCTCCCAAACATTCGGATATTATCAGCATTCAAAATGCACTGAGAACAATCAAGAATGTAAGAAAAATTCCAACTTCTTACTTCCTCGCTATTTTTCAATTCTAAATAAATGCAATAAAAAAAAACATACGACAATTTTAAATATATTAATGTTTCTCCACTTGAATCTTATCTGTTTTTTTTATTTTTTAAAATGCAACTATTTTTCCTATAAACCGTTTAAGATTTTTTGTGTTAATGGTAAATATTATTTTTTTCTTAAGTACGGCGAACAAGATAAATCATTTAAAGCTATTGTCTTACAATACCAATGCATATAATGAAACGAATGATGTAAATGCTGAATTTATAACTTTTAAGTACATTTAATCAATTATAATTTCATTTAGCTTCTGTTGGATTAATTATTGTTTTCAACTTATTCATTAGTTTTTTATAAATAAATTGAGTTGTTCAAATTAGTTAAAGCCTTGTGCAGACTTTAGGTGTTTATATAGTTATCTAACTCTCATCCCTACCACCTTAGAGAAATATCCAACTGCTGTTTGGTTAATGAGTTTGGATACATTAACACACACCTTTTAAGATTATTAATAGTAATGTTGATATGATTATGCACACATAGATTTTGCGACGTGTAGACAAATTCCTGATGCAATAACATAGTTAATTCATGTTTTAAAAATACATTTGCATAATTGGTGTATGTGTTTTCATAGTACATATAATGGCATTGTTCAGGTCTTTGCACGAAATCATCATTGTGTTATCATGTTTCAATATCCAGGAATAATATTTTAAATTCTTGTCTATAGGACATTAAAATGAAGTTGTTCTGGTTAAAGTTAACTGATTGAAAATGGTGGAATTGAAGATATCATACCATAAGGTGTTCCACCTTTTCTGTTTTGTGACTCAATTATTCTTCGGATTCATTTATGAGTTTATGTAAGTCATGTTCACCAGCTGAATATGAAATATAATAACTTACTATATGTACTAACTAAATATGCAACCATTGGTTAATAGATCAAGACTTGCTGGATTAGTGGCCGACTTGACTTTGTTGTTGGAAATCGAGCTTTATGGTACACTGCATGCAACAAATGCCACGAAACTTACAATGTGCCTCTTGATACTGCCATCAAATGTAGGAGTTGCCAAAAAGAGGCATACATCGAAGCAAGGTACAAAAAAAATCACATTAAATTTGTTAATACAAAAAAATATGGTTAATGTAAAAATGAGGTGATTAATGTCATGAATAAATATCATTCAGGTGTCGTATACCAATAAGAATCAATGATGGTACAGGCATTGTAAATGCCATTGCCTATGGTGAAGATACAGAAAAATTAATTCCATTCAATGGCATCCAAATGTACACCGCTGAACAACAGGTTTATACGTATTCTTTTACCAGTACTTTTTTTATAAGAGTTGTGCCAACATTTAAATGTCATTATTAAATAATGCTTTATATAATGTTTCAGGGGAAAGATTTAATACCAGAAATTGCACAAGCTATCAAAGGTCAACATATCACCTGCTATATCAAACACTATGAGACAGAGTACTCATCTCAAACTCGTGCCATGCACAAAGTGGTCAAACTGTACACCAAACAAGAGCTGATGAAACCCCACGCAACTGTTACCGAACAATCAAATACACAACGAACACCAGAAACAAGCTCATCAAAAGTAATGTGCTCATTTAACTTCATACACCAAACTTTCATAACCACAAGTTTTGTATTTTCATACTTCATCCTTGTCACACCCCGCCTTACTACTAGCTTTGAAAATCAGAGTAAAATTTTTTTGTTTTTATTTTCGAGAGAATGTGCGAGCTGGGTTTTC